GAAGCACAGGTGATGAGCGCCATCTCGTGGAGGGCGGGCATAAATGTGCGGCGACCAGGTCCTCTACAGGGGGAATGGAAAGATAGCCCTTTTCTGCGGCTCCGTCCACAACGCGAAGCGGGGCGGAAGAGTCGGAGCGAGTTCTGGCAGAGAGCGGGGCATTCCAGGACTTCGTGAGTTCCGCGTGCAGTTCGGGCAAGAAGGGCGCGGCCCGTTTAGTGACGGGAGTCGAGCGCTGGCGGAAGTAGGTGCCGTCCATACGGTTGATGGTCTGCTCGGGGGGAGGAGACCAATCGAGCCCGAGGCGTTCGACGGCCTGTGAGAGGAGGCGCACTAATTCCTCCTCGATTCCAGCGCGGGTCCCAGAGGATTCTCGGGCCGAAGAGGCGTGAGAACCGGACCATTCCTCACTGTCTGAAGCAAGAAGCGAACATGTTTCCTTGATGTCCGCGGCGTCATCGGAGGCGACAGAGCGGCCACTCGGCGGCAACTGTATGTCCGGAAGCGGCGGAGAAGGAGAGCGGGAGGCGACAGGCTCCGGCGGGATGAACGCTTCTGGCTGGGGTTCCGGCGGCCTCTGAGAGCGGCGTTTCTTCTTACGCGGCGAAGTCAGAGGCGGCGCGGAAGCAACTTTAGTGGCCTGAAGTCGAGCCCGCAGGGTCGACAACGGCATCTCCTCGCAGAGATCGCAGCCGCCATCGGCGAGGGCGAGCTCGGCGTGCTCCAATCCGAGGCAGAGAGCGCAGATGACGTGGCGGTCTCCAGTCTCGAGGGGAGCGCGGCAAGAACCGCAGGAGGAAAAACGAGACATCTTTACAAAGACGCTCGGCTCTTTTAGATACAATACACAATACAAGAAGCTTTTTGGTAAAAGGATATAAATCCGTCGGATGGCGCTAGCTTGCAGGACGGCTGAAGGTGGCGAAGACGGCCGGCTTCCTCAGTCTCCCAGATGCTCGCTAGAAGGTGCCTTTTCAACGACGGCGGCTTCTCTCAGGATCAGCAGATGCGTGTAGCCTCGCTGAAGAGATGAAAATCAGAGTTTGCAGCCTGAGAGGCGAATTTATACTCTCTGGCCACGCCCGTTTCGGCGGGCTCTGACGCAATGAGAGCAGGTCAGACTCTCATTGGCCGAGAGTTCATTCGCGTCTCCTCATAGGCTTAAGCAGTTCCCTGTGAGCGAACCAATGAGCTGCTAGCTAGCCTGCTCATGGTCTGCTGCAGCTGAACTGCATTGACAATGGATACAAAATTATAGGATAATTTTTTGGCTTCAATTTCTCAGAAAATATGAATCTTTCCCGCAGCGTAAGCTAGCTTACGCAATACGAGAGAACCTCTCGTAAGAGAACCAATCTTGATGTTGGACACGTGAAAAAAATGTGTTTCTGTGTATGATTGTTTGGACAGAATGATTTTCATTGTTGTATTAGGTTTTTGTGTGTTTGTTAATTTGTTTGTGTTTTATTTACATTACAGAATTGAGAGAGAAAATGTGTTTAACTTTCTTTGAAATACAGTATGAATCAGACATTCCATGTCTTTAAAAGAGAGACTGTAATGTTTTGAGGATGATTGATGTAATATATATTTTTTTGAATTATGTAACAGTCACACATTTGGCAGTATTAGCCCCCATACAAATGCACAGTAAATGACATTTCAGAATGCCAGTAAAATATGACTTGGAGTTTTAAATAAATGACCTAATTCTGTCTGCATCTCATATTGGACATTTTATTTCATCTCTGCCCTGAGATCGACCCCAGCAGTCAGTGTCCTACCAAGATCAACTACAGCTACGATAAAGAGGAAATGAATGCAAACCCGCCCTGTTACTCGAGTCCAGAGCCTGAAGTCATCCTACAAAGTGCAAAGGAAAAACATCCCTTATTTGACCACATATGCTGTGAATTAGACACTGCTTGTGCTTGTGTAACTTGTGTGCCAAATGACATATTGAGTACAATGTTATAATTTGCTGATTATCATGACATTGAGTAAGACTTTTGTACATTTTACATAATGCCTATGGTATTCCTGCCTCTGGACAGATCACATTGTGCCTCCAGTAAATCAACTAATGAGGGCAGCATATCACAACTGATCCCATGTATTATATTAATGGATTGTTTTTGTTGTTGTTTTCCAGATTCAATATTTTTTTAACATGTAAAACTCAAAGAGTTTAAGGCAAAGCATGGTTAAGTGGAACGTATTTGGATCTACATCTTTTGTAGGTCATGGAACAATAAAAACACACACAATATAGCTATTAACTATAATTTATTTATGTGATGTAAACTGAATTTTCATCAGCTATTACAGTCTTCAGTGTCACATGATCCTTAAGAAATCATTCTAATATGCTGATTTGATACTTCGTTATTATCAATGTTGGTAACAGTTGTGCTGCTTTTTTTTTAACCTGTGATAATTTTTTTCATGATTAATTGATGAACAAAAAGTTAGAAAGTACAAGCATTAAATCTTTTCTAACAATATAAATCTTTACTATCACTTTTTTTTAATCAATTTAGCACATCCTTGCTGAATAAAAATATAATTTTCTTACAAAAGATTTATATTTGAAATAAATGCTGTTTTTTCTTTTTTATTATTTTTATTCATCAAATAATCCTTGAAAAGTATCACAGGTTATTAAAATAATAATAATTAAGCAGCACATCTGTTTCCAACATCAATAAATCAGCATTTTAGAATGATTTCTGAAGGATCATGTGACACTGAAGACTGGAGTAATGGCTGATGAAAATTCAGCTTTGCGTCACAGAAATAAATTATATTTTAAAATATAGTAAAATAAAACTATAATTTTGTAATAATTTTTCACAATATTACTGTTTTTTTCTGTATTTTTTATCAAATAAATGCAGGATTGATGAGCATATATATATATATATGTATATATATATATATATATGGAACATTTAGGGTAATAAACACTGAAATAGATATATTTTAAGAAGAAATATAGTGAAAAATCAAAAAGATATACTGTATGTGTTTAAATACATTTTTAAATAACCAATACATTTTTTTGCCATTTTTAGAATATCTGTTTTTAAAATATATCTGTAAATACATTTATTTATTTATTTTTTGGATGAATCAAATCATTATAGGACAAATAAGTTACTACTGTAGTTGTTCTGTATGTTGGTACAAGTTAGAACCCTGCATGGGTTAGGTTATACAAGTTCCAGAAATTGGATAAAAAGTTAGAAATGGCCAGCAATGTATCATGACATTTTTATTTATTTATATTCCAAAAGACTTGCTCAGCTCCCTCTGAAGTTTATAGCGCCAAACCCAATACCATAACCCCAAAAATCTAAAGAAAATGACAGTGAATATGTTGAATAAGCTCCTATTTCCAGCCCTAAACCATAAACACAAAACCTGATTGATTAATTGATCTGGGAAGATGACTTACTGGGCAAAATCATGTTAAGTGAGTTCTGAGGTTATTTGTGATCATGGGACTCATATTTAGGCGATGAGCTCAGCGATTTGGCATGATTTTGAGTAAAAGTTCTTAAAGGGCAATAATAATAAAATTCACAGAGTTTTATGAGTCCCTCACTGCACACACTTTTTCAGGAGAGGCAGACTATGAAGAATGGGCAATTTATTCATGATTATTAGCTTTGAAGGAAAGATGTTATCTTATAAGGCTTTGTAATCAAGCATGACGTCCAATCATGACAGAATATAATACGTACTGAAATTTATTTTGGTACATGAATGACAAATTGGTAAAAAATGGATATGACCTCAAGAGAACCAGACCCGGACCTCTATTAAAATCTCTATTAAACTATCGAGAATGTTTAATAGAGCGAATCTGGGCACTCACTGCCTCCATATCCCCTGCTAGATTATTTCTTGCCAAGAGGCCAGTTCAATCTAGTAGCATCTCTCACATCAACCTTAAAAATACATCAGTTGATGATGGTTGTGAAGTGACACTGCGATGCTAAAACGATTTTAAAAAGTTAACCTTCTTTAATTTTGTTTCTGAAAATGCAGACAAACAGACACACAGACATTTAAAGAAGAGAAGGTATGCCCACAATTCTTTTTCAAATAGTGTCAAGTCTGAGATTTGAGTGTAAATATAAAAAAAATGAAGAAAGCTGAATACAGACAACAACATTTCATGATGCCTTGCTGATGTATACATAAGTACGAAATACACAGTCTGTTCCAAAACCTAGTGAGCTTCTATAAAGGCATTACTTATAGGCAGCTGCTTACTAAGCCAGTAACTGTAACCTCAAGGGAGACACAACCGATTTCAGTAGTTAGCTGTTAGCATATTGCTAAGCTAACAGCATTAATACTCTACCCGGATAGCACACACACACATCTCCAGGGTGTCTTTAATGGAGCGCTTCATCTGGAAAACATCTGTTTCCATACATTCTAAACCATAAACATCTAAAAGTCACCATCAGTTTGGACATCTCTTCTGTTCTCTGATGACGTGTTTTACGGCGTGAGTGCAGGGCAACCACGAGATTATGATTCCCAACCTACATTTTTCTTTTTGAGAAGCCATTTGAATTGGATATACTGTAGGCCTACGTTATAATTTTAAGGGATAGGTCATCCAAAAACTAAAAAATTCTGTCATCATTCACTCACCCTCTAGTTGTTCCAAACCTGTATGGATTTCTCTCTTCTGCTGAACACAAAAGAAGATATTTTTAAGAATGTATTTTTTTCTGTACTATGAAAGTCAATGGGCCCCATCAACTGTTTGGTTACCCATATTCTTTAAAATATCTTCTTCTTCGAGGGTGAGTGAATGATGACAGAATATTCATTTTTGGATGATCTATCCCTTTAACATCTGACAGGAAGCGACGGATTGCAGATTAAACCAGATGAAAATGCGCACATCAAAAACACATCTCCACAATATATGTGTGCCATCAGGGTAAGCATAAAAATACATTCCACATGCAAATATAGGGTAAAACAGTTCTTTTTAATTACACTGAATTATTTTAGTAGATACTTTTCAGTAATGAATAAAACACGATTGTTTATAATCGACATTTACTTGAATGGAATCATCCTGCTCATCACAAAATCTGTCAGCTTACTAGGTTTTGGAACAGAGAAATTATATACATTTCGGATTGTCATTAAACTACCCAGTGCTAAATTCTCTATTTACAAAAGGCTCATTCTATCATGGTATATCGATGAACAAACAGAAAATGACTTCATATATGGGAAAAAAGTGAGAAAGGACATTTCCTGGTCTAAGCTGAGAGCAATATTCAGATTGGATGATTGGTTGGGTTTGAAAGTGTTCACTAAGATTTCTAGCAAGAGTGTGGCTCCGGACACACACTCAGTAAAAGTCTGAGAACCAGCTCATGGGCGAGCATGAGGGAGGTCAAGGGTCAATCTCCTCTGGAATGATTGTGAGGATGACGTCTTCATTGCCGCGTCGTACCACCGCTCTCAGACTCTCGTCTCTCTTGATGGATGTGCTGACGTCACTAGCTGACGTGATCCTCTGCCCGTTGATGCTGATTATGACATCACTCTCCTTCAGACCGCCACTAGAAAACCAAACAGGAAGCAGTTAAAACTTTCTTAATTGTTCTAACTGTGCTTGGCTTCACATTATTGGATTCCCATTACCAAAAAGTATTAGGTTTTTTGATTTCTACATAGTTTAAAGGAGGTGATGTCATTAACTCGCTTGATTGTTTAGTGAGAAACCCATTTTTCCTCTGTTTCAGAATATATTTGGCTCACTCTCAGGAAATTGTGCTGACTACTGATAGGGTTTTACGTAAATATCATGCTTTCACTGTGTAGATTATTTTTCTAAAATACATCATGCTTTTTTTTCAATTTTATTTTTATACGTCATGCTTTCAAAATCTTTCATCCCCACATTTTCTGTTTTGACATTTCTCATCTAAAAATGGATAGTTGGATCTTTCTGACATCATATTTAATGGAAAGATATTAAACAAAAGTTTCTCATATCAGTATTTCCTTATGTTCACATTTATATTCATGTAACATCCAACACTGAAATGTTTTAAAGTTAACAGGTTTGACTTAACATGTTTAAAAGAGAAAATGTCATGAGTTATAAATTCATTTAATTACCAATAACTCTACCTGGATTTACTCAACAACTGTATCTACAGTATTATACGCACATTGAGTATTAATTTGAATTTTGAAGGGTATGCAAATGTCTGTGGTGGTAATCGCCCTGGTACTCATTGTGAAAATATGAAAGTATATATAGGCTATATATATCTTGAAAGTACTGCAGCAACCTCAAATTTAGTTGTATTTTTTTTAGGTTTTAGTCCTTTTTTTATCCCCAAATGCACCATTTCCTGAGAATGGGCCATTTACACAGTTTGAAATGGCTCCTGTCATATTTGATATACTGTTACATTTAACTGATCATGCTCTAATTCACAGTAATTCTCTGTAAATTCTCTAGCCACAAATTGTAACTGTGTGCATTTATTGAAAAATCCCCAATACTACAGCATTCAACTCACTTAGCTCTAAACGGGCTTCCCACAATGACAGGAAGTGACCACTTATGTACTGTTCACATCATCTCATTTATGCTAAAATTGAGTGGAATCATATGGCTACTTTTTAGTGAATGTTCACCCACACACAATGAAATCCCAAAAGTTCATTTTAGTTACAAAACCTTTGCCTAAGGCAAAGAAAAAAGAAAAAAACTGCTGCCTCAGCATGATTATGAAATTGGGTACACATTTTGCACACGTTTTAGAAAGCCAAAAACTGTTCATTTAAATCAGTAAAATATGTATTTAAATAGAGCATTTTTATGGTAAAGACAGCATCAAATATGAAACTATGGCCACTAACTTCTTATTGTGATCTAGTTAGTATGGAAGCTTGTTTCCTCCATGGAATAAAAAATTCAGAGATAAAATGTCAAAATTGCGGAATATAAACTCACAGTTCTGAGATAAAATTCTGAATTGCGGGATATAAACACATTCTGAGAAAAAAAGTCTGAATTGCGAGTTTGGGCTATATCTGAATTTTTCATCACAATGCGAGTTTAAATCTCACAATTCTGACATTTTTTTCTTTAGAATTGAGATATAAAATTCTGAGAAAAGAAAAGTCAGAATTGTGAGATAAAATGTCTCAATTACCTTTTTTATTCAAATAAGCTTTCATAGGTTTGAATGTGCACATTAACTTTTACCAATTGTAAAATGTATCAAATCCCTCCAACCACCTGACTTTCATTGTTTCATGTGGTGCGATGGACTTACACTTCAGCTGGTGTTTTCGGGATAACTTCAATGACGTATGCTCCAGAGGTGACATCTGGGAAATCATTCTGTCTCTCCTTTAGCTCCCTAGCAAGTCTAAGAGTGACAGATAGGTAGTAGATATAAATGTCATGTTTGCTGGTATCCAGCTTTTTCTATGTGTTGCTACAATTTGAAATGATTAATTTTAGATGGCTGATTCATTTTATTTAAATGTTCCTCTAGAATCACAATCACAAACACACATCAGTATTCAGAAAGCATGCACTGCATTTGTGACTCACGTTGGGGTTAATGTCATCATTCTCACACCAATATATTTCTTTTTTGTGGCCGTTTTTCCTGAAAAAATAAGGAGATATTCATTGATTGATACTATAAATCTCAATCACATTTTAGTGTGTTTAAATAGAGTAGATGTTTTTGATTTAGCACATTTCAGTCCATCATTTTGCTCCTGACCTTTAGCCTGTCTGTCATGAGACTCAGCCAGGAACTGCCGGATCTTGTCAGAAGGAATGGCGAAGGATATTCCTGCTGTCACCTTCAGCGTGTTGATTCCTATCACTTCACCATCCTACAGCAACAGACACAAGAGTGAAGACACAAATGTAAATGTGAACTCACACAAACGCACCGCACATCTGCATGCACAGATGTCTATCTGTCACAATGCGATGCTTCCGACATTGATCATTATGAATGCACGCATGTGTTTATGTTCACGGCTGACTCAACACACAGTCTCTCTGCCAACAACATATGTTTCCAGGCTCATAAAGACTTGCCATAAACATTATCGACTGTGTACACTTGGTCCTGGCTGCATTCTGTCACTCCAGTTAATTCGCTATCACGTAAGACTCAAGCTGTTTTAATTATTTGCATATGGGGAGGACATAATAACAAAGTAAAAATCTTACCAGGTTCACCAGGGGCCCTCCTGAATTGCCATACTGAAACACAGAAAGAGTTTGGGTTTATGAAATGTGTGTGATTCTTTTTTTTTCTCTAGTGAAAACCTCTTTGCCACTAATGGGTCATGTATATATATTTAAATCATAACAACAAGTATGTACTTGCTACTGCCAATAGAGAAACAAACACACTGTGTATTACTTTAAATAAAACATAAGAAAAATGTCTAAAAAGGGAATAAAGCGTTTAAAAGGGGAAAGTGTCCAAATGAACAGAGGATCTGGTGTCTTTGTCGTGCCGGGTAATCAAGAAGGAGGGGCAGTGTTCAGTCAGGATGGATTCAGGTAAGGGTCTGGCGTGTGTGCTTCTCCTCAACAGCTCATCTTCCCTGAGGCCACGGCACATGGAGAGAATGGCGGACCAGCATCCTAACCAGTCGGCGCAAACAAGTGTTTTCCATATGGACCACGAGTCTGGTAGTCTCAGCCTCAGACGTCGCGCCTACAGAACGTTGGCTGAACCTCTGATGCATATGGCACACTTCTGTGGCGCCAAACCCCCTCAATAAAGAAGAACGCCATTGTGTTCACAAGCGCTTATCAGGAACAACTAAACACTGGATTTTCAAATGTATGTGAAGTATGTATAGTTTGTGGCATAGACTCAAAATGTGTCCAAGAGTTTTACACACCGCCTGTTATTTTAGGGACATCCACGCCCCTAAACATGACGCGGAACAAAACGAACTTGCTTTACATGCCAGTCAGACAGCCTCTGGGAGGTCCTTGGCCAATGAACCCTGCTATGGAGTCCAGACCTTCTGCCGTCAGTCTGAAGGTCTGGCTACGCGAGACTATGGGTCCGGTGACTCAGTCCATATGGCGGTGCGGGAAACCCTCCATGCTCCCCTTTTGGACCCATGAGGACACCAGTGTGCATGCACGGGGAAAGAGACGCATTGTGCATTTAACAGCCACCGGTCCTGGTTGTTTCCGCGCCCCTCCTCTCTTTCACACCCACTCCTGTCGTGACCGCGGATGGGGTGGCGCTGATAATAAGGGGAGAGGACAACATACTAAATCGCATAGCAGATCTAGACAGGTGGAGCTGGGGAGGTGGAGGGTTTCAGAGGAACTCTGATAGCTCGCTGCAGGACTAGCCTACAGTGTACATTGAACCAGACCATTTAAATGTTGAGCAAGCGATCTTATTGACTGCAGAATAAGCAGAGGCCAATCATCTTGTGCCATGTCACAAAGGAGTGATTGCTTGCAGATTTCATTTAAAGGAATTATCTGCGCCCTCTAGAGTTACTTGGCTGAACTAGTAGATATTTCAATCATAACAAAGTAGTTTTGGCATGCTAATGGTTATGGCAATGTTAATGTATTTGGTTTTGGTGGACTAGATCAACTAGATCATGCTACACATGCTGTAGAGCAAGTATAGACTTGCTACTGCCAATAGATACAAAGACACGCTGCTATCAGCATGCAGCAGCACTCAAGCCATTGTCTAATAAAAAAATATTTTTCTTATTAACAGATACAGACAAAACTGAGCATCATGTCATTGATCTACTTAGCAAACAAAGACTGTTTATGTAATATATGATCAAATGTAGTGTTTGAGCTCACATTGATGATGGCATCTGTCTGAATGTAGTCCATGTCAGAGTTACGCAGACCCAGCTCTTTGCCGCCTCTCTGGGTTGTGCTGACTATGCCTGTGGTCACTGTGTTCTGAAGGGAGAACGGACTGCCGATAGCGACCACAAACTCGCCTGGTCTCAGATCAGCTGATCTGCCCAACAACAGCACTGGAAGTTTCATCTGCAATATGAAATAAAATACAGCATGAGGCTTTGACACTATTGTCCTGGGCCATAATCAATCATTGAATTCAAGTTATACTTTAAAGACAGAATTATGATAAGGCATATATATTTTCTGAAATTGCAAGTATGCCCCATTAAAATAAGTTCTTGAATATATTATTAAGGTAATTATATTTCCTCTCAAATAAATACAATTATTAAAAATCAAATAATCATTAAATATTTTAGCAATCATTAATTAACAGAAATGAAGTAAGTAGGCCTAAATCTTCAAGCTGTTTTTCCTCCTTCACAAAAGCAAATGTTATTGCTCATAGTTTGCTCTCTACAGCTCAGGAGACTTAATTTAATTCTCAGTTTGAGACCTGCTCATTGTTGAGAACTATAGAAAAGGCACATGTGAGATTACTGAGGTCTTTTTCTAAGGAGAAACATCTGAGAAGCAGGAGACCTAAGCAATATACTCCTTTTAATTCATTGCTGTGAAGGAGAAACTGAGATATTAAGGAGATTTAAATGTGATTTCCCTTTGGGAGGAAACATTTTTTTAATTGTATTTTGTAACTCTCTGGCATTGTCATGCAAATGTTTCAGTCCATTCTTCCTATAAATGTGTGATATTCAGGGGCTTTCTGAAATGTACTACCCACTTCAAGTGCCAACATTTCTGTTGTGTCACTATAATGCTTTTCCAGATATTACCTTTCATGTAGTGCGTAATATAGCTGATTGTAAATATATAATGTCTGCAAAGTTATTGTAAACTATTGCAGAGTTATTGTCTCCCAAAAGAAATAACCAATTCTGAATTGCCTGAAACAAGGCATCAATAATTCCATCAATTACTTCCTGCACAAACCTGCGTAGGTTTGAAACAAATTTGCATAATGCTAGCCCATGGTCTTCACTGGCTGCCCACGAACAACGTCTACGTTGACCCGCCCTCAAACACTGTAGCTGGAGCTGAGGCCTAGAAGAGTTTGGTTCGCATGTCGACATGCACTTCCAAAGGATGAGGACTCAAATTGGTAAGGTAAAAACGACAGCGTTGTTACTGTTTGCATCAAGTGCTGAGGAAGACTCCGGAGCTGAAATTCTGATATGGTAATGGGCGTTTCGTTTCTGACCCACACTATAAGTGGTAGACCAATCACAACAGTCTGGGCCATCTGACCAATCAGAGCAGAGAAGGCTCTGGGAAAGAAGGGGTTTGGAGAGCCCGAATCCTTTATCAAACCGTTTCAGACACTGAGAAACGCTGAGCCTGATGCTGCAAAGTAATTTTTTTACCTTGAATGCATATAAATCTATTTTAGGAGACCTCCAAAACAAAATTAGGAACCTTTAAAATAGCATAATAGCGGCACTTTAATATATAGGATTTCCTTTGATTCTTCATTGCTTCTTGTTTTACCTACTTATTGCTTGTGTGTTTTGGGTTAACACATTCTTTGTATGGTTCAGCTTGTGGATGAATGCTCTTGATTTTCCTCGAGTGCTCTGATATGGCCAGCTGAGCTGCAAGGCAGTAAAACACACCCATAATGCTTTCATCACCATACACAGCTGGTATGGGGTTCTTCTGGTCAGTGGTTGTTTTACAACAAACATAAAGCTTGAGATTGCGGCTAAACAGCTCTACCTTCATCTCCATGTGCTGAATCTGATGGGATGTCTTGCCCTGTGGTGCTTTGAAATGTTCAGATGATCTTGCAGATAATGAAAGGCCTCAAAGAGCCACACACCTCAGATGCTCAGACTAAAGAGGACCACAGCTTTCTGATGTTTACATGAAGATGTCCTCCATGTTACTCCCTACTTAAGTTCCAATTATTTGCATGTCTTTTTATACACCTGAATCAGTTTTAGGTCTGGATTTTTTCAACCCAAATTTGGGTCAAATATGGACAAACCCAACCATTGGGTTAAAAAATGTAATTAATAAAGTCAGGCTGGGTTTGTCCATATTTGTCCCAAATTTGGGTTGAAACAACCCAGCATTTTTTACAGTATATAGCCATATATATATATATATATATATATATATATATATATAACACATACACACACTTTTTACAAACTTTTATGTTATATGCAATGAATCGAGTTGACAACACTTTAATACATCACGTTTGAAAATAATGTACCACCTTCACTAAACCCTACTTGAGGTCATAGCATATAAGTGTGCAAGGAACCACATGAAATGAATATATGTGTGATAATCTGCCCTTGTAATCAAAATTTGTGTGGAAAAAAGTTGGTGTTTTACTGTATCTAGTGTTCATTTCAGCTGGAAACTGCAGTGAATTGTATATGTGTGTAAGTACATGTGTAAGTAGTTTTGCAGAAATGTAGGTAGAAAACAGACATTTATGAATGAATTTACTTCCTTCAACTATTCCATCAAATACCATTTTTTATTTTTCCACTATCCACCAAAAAACATGCACAGGATTGTGATAGTATATCATAGGTGTCACGGGTGGTTGCTGGCAGACAGATGAGGAAGACGTATACCATTCAATTCAAAAGGTTTATTCTCTAAAGATCTAACAGGAAGGCAAATGGATAGCAACACACACTGAACATAGACAATGGGCTATATGCACGCATAACTTCCGCGTTTGACGCAAGGATGCTCGTGCGTTTCCGGTTGGGGAGATTTAAAGCGGAGGAAAACCAAGGAAAACGGGATTATGGCAGAGTCTTCAAAATTTACTGTCCTCTCGTCTTTGAAACGAAACTTTAATACGTTTAGATGTAATTTTATATATAGTTATGTTTATTTAATATAATAAACAAAGAAGCATAAACAAAATGAGGGGTGTCTGTTTTGTCTGTTTTTGTGACTAACGTTTCTTTAGTATAGCAATAGAGTATAAAAACCAATATAAATTCTCGGTATAGCATTGGACTCTAAGATCGGCGGAAGTAATCCAGCATCCTTAGACCTTCACCGGAAATACTGCCGTGCATAGAGCCCATACCGGACACTGGACTGAAACAGAACTGAACATAATAGGTGTTAATGATGGTGACTGATAAGTGCACAGCTGAACATGATTAGTATCCATGACAACAAATGAGTGACGTAGGCAGGTGATGACAAAACATAACGAGTCCAAACTAACGTGAATGTGACAATATAGGCAGCTAAGGATACATTTACTGTATAGTACAAAAACATGTAATTCAGATGCATTAATGCTTTTCTATATATACTGTCTGTATTTTTAAGTTTCAGACACATCCTTGATAAAGTTTTATAGCTTAAGTTTTCAGCTGTTATGTTGTTATATTATAACAGCTGCACTATAATAACACACGACTACTGCTGAAACGAACCGGACAAAAACAAAATCAGTTTTTTTATGAATATTAGAAATAAGCAAATAACTGAACAATAGCTTATTAGTTTTATGTGTGGACTTGTGTGTATATGCACTAGACTTTTGGTTGTCAGGAAAAAATACAAAATAAATGAAAGTTCAATCAATGCCTGCGGTGGCCACAGCTGTATGGTTGATTAGAGATTAGAACCTCCCTTTTCACTCTTGAGATTCCAACACCATTCCCCTTCTGGCAACAGGAAGAGAGGGAGGAAATGAAGATAAAAGTTCGGTGAGAAAGAGAAAAGGCTGCTCATATCATCAACTGTGCCTGGATGGAAACATATCTGCTGAAAGAATCGACTACAAACTCATGTTTTTGTGCAATCTGAAAAAAGAAGAAGAATATGATTGTTTGCCTGTATTTAAAATAAAATGTGATTGTTTTTTTTGTTTTTCAGGATGTCCATATCTGAGTCTGTGTGTGCACTTATGTGTTTTGGTATGTACAGCTGTCAGCTTGTAGCCTAAGGATAATTCCAGATGCTGGAATAGAAATGATGGTATCCTTATTAAGGGGAGAATTTCAGAAAAGCTGGAATGACATTTGGCAAACATGTTATCTGTGTGCTAAGTCAAGCATCACTGTTACTGTTGCTTATACTTAGGCTTAGTGTTTTTTAACAAAGCCATAACCTTAAGTACTAAAACTCTTTATGTAACTCATCCCACACCATGATTCAGACATGAATGACAGCACAAACCATGTGGCTTATTTAGAAATGAGGTGCTAGGTACTTTCTAAGACTAATTTATGATTTTGGCCCGGCAGGGTTTCCCAAATAGGGGCTCGTAAATCAATGAAAAACGAATAAGTAATTAAATCGAATGTAACACTAAAATAAATAAATGTCTGTAATCAAAATAAAACTGAAATAGATTGACATGATTTAAGTTTGATCAGGGACGTCACTAGATATTCATGGATGAGGGGCTAAGCCCCAAAAACGTCTTTTCATTCATGTAACAACAGGTGTAAAATCTATCGAAAAAATGTTGCTATTTTTTTGTCAAGGTTGGTTAAAAGTATATACCTGTCTCATAGTTTGTGTTATACACTCATCTACAATATGACTAACTTATTTTTATCCAAATAAAGAAATTAAAGTCCACTAACACCTAACAAAAAGAACATAAATGGTTGTACCAGCCAAAATACGTCTTGGATTTTATTTTAAATTTGAAGACATCAATCATAGGCCCTATATTAACTTTAAATCGCAGGGGTATTTCAAAATAAATATTTTACGCCTAAAGGGTTCAGCTCACAAAGAAGTTTGGGAACCCCTAGTGTGGTGGATGAGAAACCATGAGGTTTGTTACATTTCTTATTACATTTTAATTAACAACAAATTGTGTAAAGACGACCCCCAATGAAGTGTACAGGTAACTGACTGAAAGTGCGGACCAATTATAATTCACTGTGGGGTGGAGCAGGTTCGGGGCCGAAAGCCGTGGGTGCGGAGGGAGGCCGGTGGAACGAAAGCTAATGAGAGACACCTGTGTGACATAGCCAATCTCGAATCCCAATCTCGAATACCACAAAGGAGCTCCGGAAGGATACATTCACCTTTCACAAAAAAAGGTCTAAAGGGTTAACTGA